TTTCCATAACACGAGCTTGCGCTCTTCGTTTCGCGTACATGGCAAACGTTTAATGCTGTAGAGTGCTTTAAACGGATACTCTGGTACATTTGGGACTTGAGCTACACGACATTCGTCTGTCGTGCGGAACTCCTGCTAAGACTATCCATTTTATCCACCTGTGTTTATCCTGCCTGCAACTTCCTCTTGTAGGCCTTCCTCTGCTGTGATGTGACTGCCTAGGTGCTTGTGAGGTTGTCCTTTAGCTCTTCACCATCAATACATATGGTTGCTAGAGATTGCTTCCCCGCTTCCATTTATTCAGTCTTCTTGGTTTTGAGAGCTTCAGCCCATGTGCGACTTCAACCTGAATTTCGGGTGGTTGAAGTCTCGCCTCTGTACCTCGCCTTGCATTTCTTTTCTGGTACTTGCTGGCAAGAACACGCGCAGAGGAGTGTTCAAGGAGGTCTACGCCTAAGAGATTGTTTGATTGTCACTGAACCTTGGTGTACTTCAGACCTGACCTTAGACTCTTTTGACTACCCTGCAGCTGCTTGTATAGTAGATGGCGTTCTGGTGAATAGCTTCATTCACTGGACGTACTCTTCTGGAACCACGTATCTTCGTAAGGCCCATCATTTGAATGCACGAATCACCTTATCGAGGGCTTTCTCCAAGTTCAGGGAGGCAGCACGCCCTTCTGTTTCTGTCCATGTTTCTCATCAATATCCGAGCGAAGTGGGTGGCGTCAGTTATACCCTGCTCCTTTCAAGAATCCGCACTGATTTGCTGACAACTCTATGATATCTCGAGGCCGCTTTTTGATTAGTGCTCGTATTTTTAGAGTGTGGCTCATCAGTCGGATTGGACGTTAGTATGGGCAGTCTATGATGTCTCCTTTGTTCTTCTACAGCAGAATCGTTGTGCTGGTATAAAAACTGTGAGGAACGCTCTTGCTCTTTATGATCTGCTCGAGGAAACATAGCCAGGAAGCATTGCGGTAGGAAAAGCAGGGCCCCATCCAGGTGAAAAGGGTCTCTGTTATCTCCATCCTTGCAGGGTGAAGTGGTTTTCAAAGCCACGAAGCAAAATGCCCGAACAAGCTGCACATCATTCAAAAGCCGAGATCATGGAGAATGGGCATATACCGTCGACCCCGTTTTGTCTCCAAATTCAGCATGCTCATCTACTTGTGCTATCTCCCAGCCCCATACCTCGAACTTTGCAAAAGGTCGATAAAATAAAAGTAATCGGTAATTTCGAAAATTAATATGTATTCGTAATAGCATGCTCACTACCCCACAGTGCCTACTCCCGGCCTCGTAGCTCGAACTGTGCAAGAAATCGATGGAATGATACGATATTGATCAATAACGAGAAGTAGCCTACGACACCCGCCTATACTTTCGACAATCTACAAAAGCGCCTCAAAAGTGTAAGTTGTGTGAATATCTGCCGCTCATAAAAAGTGAAGGATGTTTAAAAAACAGAGAAGAAAGAAAGATGCAAAACAAATGGCAAAAGCAAAGGAAATCTCAAAAAATTAGACAAATGCCTGCAATGAATTTGAATTCTTATTTGGGGCATTTGAATTGTAGGTTCTCGCCAGGACCCAGCAATCCACAACACGGGGAAGAACAAAGTGAAGCTGGTTTCTTCTTCGTGATTGTTTCAAAATCGAACATATCTTGGAAGTGGTGATTATCGAGAAGAGAATAAGCGAGAAAATAATCAGTTTTAAAAATGTAAAGTTTTTTCTTAAGTTGTGCAAGTCAAAGACAATCTATTTATGATGCGTTCTTTGAATTTTTAGTTTTAATTCTCGTAGTTTCTGATCCTGTCGACGCTGTAGCTCCGTGCTGATCATAATTTGAGCACCAACTCCACTAAAGGCCTATATAAAAACGCACCATTTTCAGCCTTTTGCCAGATATTTCACCACATTTGAAGAAGTTAGCCCCGCGACATTGTCTGCAATATAGACTGAAGCAAGACCTATCGAATGTACAAGAAATCGCGTGAAAAGAGTTAAATTAGAAAAAAAAAGAGGCTTTCGAAAACGCGGTTTTTGCTTGGATTTGTATAAATCAAAAGATGGGGTTTTGGACGGCGTGAAAGTAGTGGCTTCAATATGGCATACAGTTTGCTGGAATCAAGTTCAGAGAACGAAAAAGGAGAACCAGATCCGAATGCCCCGTGCCCCGTTTGGGGAAGCGAGGTAGCGCGCAATGCGCGGAGATGCAGAAGAACAGAGGGGAAAGAAGAGTCGAGGGGGCATTTGGCTCTGAGTAGAACTCCGCGGAGTCTCAAAATTCCTGCAACATTATATGTCATTCTGACCGCATGACACGACTTAAAGCATTAACAACGTCTCCGAAAACAACTTTTTAGCGAAACAAACCAGCGTTTCCATGTGCGACTCTAAGGGAGAGTTGAGCGCACTTAAAGGCAGCGGCTCGGCAGATTGACCTACCTCAGATTTTGACAGATGGATAGGAGGCCCTCCAAACCAAAACAGCAACTCCGCGCCGAAAATGTGATTTCTGCAAGCCAGGGGTGCGGCCCAAGCGCCGCTCCCCTTCCTCCTTTCGCTCCCCTAACACTTTGCTTGGACGAGTGCTCTCCGCTAGACGGCGCGGGACCCCCCTACCGCTTTCCCGCATTGTGCATGCTATACAAAGCGCCAAAATTACAGGCAGCAGGGTCTTCGTGCCAGGACCTTCCGATTTTCCTTTGAAAATTCTCGTCCGAGCTGCCTTTTGGAAATTGAAAAAACGCCCCGAAAAAGGCCTTTTAACCCTTTTAAAGCTCAGATTCGGGATCTAAGGGTCGAGAAGGCCCAAAACATGCTAAAAGATGGAAATGCAAAATCTGCCGGGACGCTGCCTTTAAAGTTTTTTTTTGAACTTCAGTAGCGCTGGTGAGTTTTGAAACTCAAAAGTAGTCTAAAGAGAAATCAATCGAGAAAGGTTGTCCTGATCTATGAAAATTTACACCAAAGCCTCGTTATTAGCTTAGAGAAAGCTATAAAAACGCAGCTTTCCGGTTTGCAGGGATATTTTTGAGATACTACTTACTAGCTTACTTCGTTCACATTCATTCCGATGCAGTTATGATCTCAACATCATGGGCTTTGCTCTGAATGGACCTGTTTTTTGATGAAGGTTGTGTTCTCTTATAATGCTCAAAGTAAAGTTCACCAGAATACTGGCTCTATGTGTCGAGCGTGTGCACCCGCGGCGCTTCGAAGTATATGTGTGGTAAGTTTGTCCGGATCTCAAAAACGGCTTTTCCTATTCGGAGTAAATATACGTATACAGACAGACAGACACACAGTTAAACAGACTTCTAGCATTATATATAAGATATGTGGTTCTGTGGTTCACGGCTGAGGCGCTGAGTTTGCAATAGCTTTTTGCTCATGATTTCTTTCAGATTTCTTCACCAATTCAGCCTCAAGTGAAGAGGTCATTCACGCCGGCTTAAAAGTTAGGGAATAGTTAGGATACATTGCTCTTCTATCTATGCCAGGAAGTCCCGGATTGTCCACATATTTTCCAGAACCCGTTAAGTATCGTTTGGTACGTCTAGCCTGAGCTGGAATTATGAGAGAATTTTTGTGGTAGAAATTAGGCTTAGGGTGGAATCAGACTCGCGACCTTCACGCGATAGCGTGGAACACTAAATAATGAAACAACTCTGCTAAATTTTGAAGATTCAAACAAACTATCTCAACAACTTCAAATACCCGAATACGAATATTCGGGCCAGCTGCAAACTTTTGATTATCGTAATAAGAACTACATCGCTTCAGTACTGTATATGAATGGCAAGACATTATTTTATGATGTTCACAATAGTTGAAATGCACATGCCACAATTTATAAGTGGTCATCACCTTCATCATCAACTTTCTAGCAGCCAGTTTCTTTATTTCAGGTTGTTGCTTGATTATGTCTAGCTGTCACTTGTATTTAGCTTCAGATTTCAGTGCTGCATGCAAGCTGTTTATGCTTTTTTTTCAGAAGTCCGTAAGGAAAAGCCTTAGAGAATGTACAAAAGACTCGCACTTTGTGCTGTATTGGTGGGTTGTGGAGCAAAGTAAGTACAGAATTGCAAACTCGTAGAAGCAAAAGTTCTCAACTTTGTCTTTATACCATGTAGAGCCTCACCCTTTTCCAAACGCAAGCAAACCGCAACGCATCGCTGCGCATGTGCTTCGCTTAAAGTCGTTTCTTTGCTGATTTCGACATGACGACTGGTTTCTCTTTGCACAAATTTGCTGAACTCTACCTGACATTGAAGGCAGTGTCTCCTCAAATTGGTGGGTACCGAGACTTTACAGTGTTTCAATGATAAAGACCCTTCAGATAGTTTATAAGTGTACTTTGGAGCGAAAAAGCTGTTTTGGAAAGCCCAAATTCCGCCCCGAAAGTCTTCCGGACCCGGCCCATTTCCAGACCCTGCCCAATTCTTACACGTAATTTGTAGCGAGCGCAGACCCGAAAGCTTCCAAAAAAGATCACTTTTGCTATTTTAAAGCACCAAAAGCTCAGATATGGTTTCAGCATGGCGAGCAGGCTCCGAAGAGGTGGAAAAGCGGAGTGCGGAATTTTCCGGGAGCTGCCTTCATAGGGTACCATGCGGAATTCAGAATCCGCTAGCTTGTTCTCATAACAATGTGGATGCGAGCATATGTACATCGAATCTAGTGTCATATCGTTCGTTGTGACAAGGCGTTAGCTTTCATTAATTGCATTTCTTAACTACGCTACGCTTTGTGCAAGGTCGTATCGATCATATTAATAATTAGCTAACTGCGCTAAATTCGCGAAGAGCTCGAGCTTTGGCTTTGGAGTTTCCCGTGTGTCCTCTGCTTTTATGTTACGCTGTAGACCACATGCGTTTTTCCACACGAATCCTCTAGCCTGTTCTTGCTGCTCAACTTTGAAAAGCTACAGTAGGACATACAGTCATAGTCATAGTCAATACATTTCAAACTTTTGTGAAAACAGAGTAGAATGTTTGACTTTAGCGAGACGATCGGAGCGAGTACTAGTCCTGGAACTCTTTCTCGAAATATTCGCGGTTTACCAGATATTACTGGACCTTTGGTTCTGACAATATCCTCGAGAATATGGAATGCTTTCAATACATCAGAAGTTTTTCTAAATGACACTATGAACTCGACCTTGAGTACCAATATCAGTGGAGCGGTGAGTATCAGTTTCTTTCCTATCTCACGAACATTGCTTATTTTTTGTATGAAGGTAGGTACGGTGAAATACAAATTATGGAATGCTAGTCTCGAGTCTCTCTCTTTCTCTACCAAAAACGTGTCTTTCAGAAAATTTCGTCATGGAGGATTGCGTATTCGGGTAAGGCTAGTCTTTTACATATTGCATCTATGCCAGCATTTATCAGATAAGAGGGCTAAAGTTCACCGCAAGTGCCGATTTAGAACTGGAAGTCGATTTCTGGCTAGCGCGTCTTAAGTTCAGCGGCAAAGTATGGTGAGCATTGCTGTGATATCTTAGCAAAATTTGTTGTCACCTTGTAATATTCAGGGTGATGTCTGAAAATATAAGGGTTGATATCGCTTTCATCTGGAATAACTTCACGATCGCTTCAAAAATACGTATGGGCTCGAATATCAGACTATTCTTCACTGGCAGCCTACAGTATTTCAATCTGGTGGAGCCAATGCTTCGAAATATTATAAGAAAGAACATAGAAGAGCAGGTAACAAAAAAGACTGAGCAGTTCCAGTATTCGTATGTAATCAATGCGTGAAATTGTTTTAGATCAGAAAAGCTGTAGAGAATGAGGTAAATCCCTATCTCCAAGAACTCAAAAAAATGGTGCGCAATGCCGGTCTTTCTTTCCTGTTCAAACTACCAATCAAGTGGGCGCTGCATAATGGCACTCTTCAAATCGTGTTAAATTCAAAGAGGTAAGCCGATGATATAATAGAATTGCGGAGAAAGTCGGTAACATTTGCTTTTAGCGCACACCTAATAGCAGGCAAAGAAATTAACTTTTTTTTTGCTTTCTAGATGCATAACTGCTCATATTGAACAGATGCACACCAGTGGCGGACCGAGGAGGAGAAGGGGGCGGCCTCTCCCCCCCCCCCTCCCTCTCGAGAATGGGTCGCGAAATTTTTGAAACTCACCTATACAGGTTATAAAAATGTGCAAACGACTGCTTGTTTTTGTAAATAATTAAAATAATTTTTTAAATTTTTTAAAAATTCAAATTAGCATTGTGGAAAATTTTTTTTCGGGGCTGGCTTACGCCACGCCCCCTTTTTCCGGATTTTAGGTGTTGAGGATCCGCAAAAATTTTGAGAAGTACCCCCAAAATTTTTTCAGAGTGCGTGGCTAACGCGCACCTTCATTTAAAAAAATTTTTGTCGCGCCTCCCGGTCTAAAATCCTGGGACCGCCACTGGTGCACACATATCCTAGATGCAATCGGACCCAAGAGGGTTCGGACAGAAACACTGCTTAAAGTCGCTTGCCTGCTGTGCAAGAGGTTTCGCTGCATGGGCACACCGTCGGAGAGATCAGAAAGAGTTGAGACTGTTTGGCGTGACGTAAAGCCACAGCGATGCGGACGCGCACCATGCCAATTTTACGTGTTTGGATGGAACAGACTGCTTTCAAGACGGGTTGCTTATACATATCAATTGTTCTTTTGCTGATGATCGGCTTACTAAAGCAGTGGGGTCGCGAAAAGTTTATTCAAGCTTCAGGATTTTTTTTGTACAAGCCTAGTCGCTTTTTGTAAGCATATAAAGGCTCGTATACTTTCGCGGTTTCGTACTGTAGCTTATTTCATGAGCGGAGGTCGACTGTTTAGTGTACGTCCTGGAACCAACCCTCGGCAGTAGGAATTTTCCGCAGGCCATCGAGAAAACACCTAGATCTTGCTTTTGATTTCTATGAAGCGATAGCTAACTACGATTGCGCGAGGCGGGGACCGCTTAGCGATCAGAAAGAGCAGTCTGGATTTGACTCTACTTTTTGCGCCATGATACTGTAGTCAACCAGGATTTGGTGAATAGAAAACGGATGTTCTGTAAGAGTGAATGAAATGGTGAGATTTTGAAAACTTAATTATAAACTTTGAAATTCAGAAGAAAGCAGGATATTGTAGAATTATCCAGGCAAGAATTCATTGTTTTGGAGCGATATTTCAGTAATAGATATGGCCCATTGAGGCCCTCACAACCTGTCACCTTTGTAGGTAAAGACCTTGCTGCTGCTTGACTCTGTTACAAAGTTGTTATCCGACGTCTTCTTCTTCATGTTCATAAATATCCTTAGTTTAGGTGGAAAAACAAATGTAAAATTTTTTTCTCTGTCTCAGTTTCGGCATTATATGTAGCACATTCAGCTCGAACAATGTCTCTTCAACATTTGTACCTGTCGATAAAATGGTATGCCTCAGCACAGACATCCTGCAACTCTTCAGATTGCTTTGGGCATTTTTCTTTCGAACATCAAAACAAACGGTGAGCTATCGTTATTGTGTACCAGCTTAGCAACTAGTGAATTGACCGTCAAGATCTAGTGGCTACATCTACAGACAGGGGCGGCCTCCCTGATTATGGCATTTCCCTTATTGTCCGCTTGCTTTAGAGAAAATAAATTAAAGTGCTTCATTCTAGCGTAACAGCGTTTATCTCGTGCCATGATCCTTTATACCATGTAAAGTATCCAGTGCATTAAAGGAGTTCCGAACGCACACTTAGACAAATCAAAACTGATGTCTCAACTAAATTTAAAATAATGCGGGGATGAGATGGCAGTCGATTAGAAAATGCTTTGGGTTGTACGATTTTTTCCTTTTGCAACAGCCACACCACCCATTCAAGTGATGATTGCTTGATTCGACTATGCAACAATCGCGCATGGTCTTTTTAGAATTAAGTTTATTCTTTTAGTATCAAACTGGAATTTTTCAAAACACTGCCGGGAGATAGTAAAGTTAGAGCTGAATCAAATCAATCCTGTCTTTCTCCTATTAAGAGTACAGTTTTTTCGTTTAAATGATTTTTATGTGGCACTTACGCTATATTTCATATAATTGGGCGTGAGCGCTAAATTCGCAGAGCTTCATCCATTTACAACTAAAAATCCGAGCGCTTTTGCATTCCAGAGCAACGGATTGTGGATTATAGACTTTTTCAACTTCTCATAAGTTTATACAAGCTCCTGCCCCATCGTGCATAAGTTTATGAATTTCGTGTCATATGGATACGTGCGCATTGCAAACAAGTCGGTTCCTCATCAGTCAGTATGCAATTTTTTCAAAATTTTTGTATTCAATATTTTTGACATCTTCAGAACAGTGTAAATATATGGAGGCTTTCCGGGGTTTTGCTCGTGCCAGATCCTTTTATATGAATGAAACTTGTTTGCTTTGCCATCCAAATACATTTGAAATTCTATTCGCGTCCTGCTGTACATGAAACTCAAAATTCGCACCGTATATGAAAAATTAGAAACGACCCAAGCATAAATAAATCTGATAGAGAGACCTTCAAAAACGATCTCATTTGACTGACTCAAAGACAAGAAGCCAGGTAATAAATTGCAGTTTTCCAGATTGAGGGCTTGGACATCACATGTATAGCCCCGGAGTTCAGCTGCATAGGAGCTACATGCACTTTCTGTACGGATCTTAGCATTGCACGATCACCAATGAATAGTTCCAAGAGAAGTTTTCTCAAATGCATACCTCGGATGAATCTTGTGACTTGGGCTCTAAATAACTTCGCCCACTTCAAGACCTTACTAGCAGGTAATTGAATCTATGTGCGAGTATCACTCGAAAGCACTTCAAACAGCAATGTTCGTCTCAAAATTTTTTCTTGTAAAAATTGAAAAGTTGTTTTTCAGAAGTTTTAGAAACAATAAGTTTGAAAGTAATAGTAAAAGAATACTGAAAAAATTTTGGGACTTGTTATCTTTAGAGATAGAATATAGTCTTAGTTTCTTAGCGCTTTTATCTCATCAAAAGTCTGGCTAAAACTAGTTTAAGAATACATTGAGCGACCTTTCGTTTTTGTTTGTATTGCTTGCAGTGGCGTATGAGTTTTAAATTGTTCCGTATTGATTGTTATATTGTTCCGTATTGAGTTGTTATATTGTTGCGTATATGTGCATTTGTTTATTTCGTGCAGAAAAATTTGTTTTTGAACTGCCTCATACAAAAACTCATACTTTACTTTAATGCTGACACTCAAATGAGCTTATCAACCCAGAACTCAACAAAAGTTATGGCTGCCACCTTTTCGGGATTGCGCCATACCCCGAAGCTTTTGTCACAGATAATTTTTTGGCAGGTAATTCACGAATGGTTCAACGGCCTGAATCTCGTAGCTTTCAAAAAATTGTCGGAGCCTCACTCTTTTCACTAAGCAGTGATCTATCTATGATCAATGTCTAAAATATAACCACTGGGAAGGAAAAATGGGATGATCGAGATTTTGGCTGGGCTCTCGATATCACAATTTGGCGTTGTTTAAAGAATTTTGATATGGGACCGAAGGAAATAGCGTTTTATATAGAATCTAAAAGGATGTAGCTGATTCCCTTGTAAAACGATAGCTGATTCCCTTGTAAAACGAAGATCAACGCGTAAAATGACGATTTTTTTGCGGTCCAATATTTGGGCGGCCAGAACTCGCTAATACTTGATGCATAGTGGTTATTTGACAGGCGATTAAGAAAATGAAACTTTTTACGTTTGATAGGGTCCCTTTTTCATGCTCACGGTATGTAAACGTGATTCGGGCGACCGCACGCAACATTTAATAAGGGAATGGTAAGGAGTCGAAGTGGCCAATCCACACAAGCTGCATACCATTAGATGCAGCATAAGACGCTGACTCTAAATCTGTCTTCCTTATCTGCATAGCGCTTTCGTGGACAAAATTGTAAGCCGTTGAAGGTCACTATTTTGCTAAGAAATTGTGCGTGTTAAAAGCAAACTTAACCGTACAAAGTCATTCTCAGCTCAGTGTCGGCCAAAACATGCAACTAGGTCACTTCATATGATCCGTACCTAGAGGTGAGCTGAAAGAGCAATAATGTGCCTAATTTCGCAATTTTCGTATACGATTTTTTCGCATTAAAGTTAACTTAGTTAACTCATAACTTCGCCTACAAAGGGGCTCTGTAGATATGAAAGACAGATTTGAAATCAGATTTTATGCTGCATCGAATGGCTGTCTCACTCCCTCACAGCTTGAGTTAATTATGGTGTCGAAGAAATAATGTTTGACAGTTGACATTACACCAATAGATGGTCTTTTTCAGCGTTGTTTCTTGTTTATTCCCGTTTCTAGTTGCTGCTGTAAATATTCAAGTCAACGTCAATATTCAGTCAGTTGGAATTGCTACGATTTCATACTGTCACGCATATAACACTTGTAGTCCTCGTTTTTGAAAAGTGCTATAGTATTTTAAAATTGGACTTCGATAACGGGCAAATCACTGAAACGACTTAACACATTGACGACAATGCGACCCACCGGTGGGTCGTACGTGTCCTGCCATTTCGGACAATACGACCCACCGGTGGGTCGTAAGTTTTCGAAAGCTCTAACTTTGCCAGCATGCGATGGAATTCTACGGGATTCTGGCACATGATTGGGGACACCTTCTCAGACAATCGCTGGGGCAGGCGGGCACCGGAAAAATAGATTGCTGATTTCTCGCACCCCGCTCGCGGATTTTTGCAAAGCAATCAGGACTTTTCGGAAGACCGCTTGCTGAGACAGCGGATTTTTGAGAGACCGCCTGTTGAATTTTTTTTCGCTCTTATCTTTTGCAGATATATTGCTGAATCTCTGAGGAATCGAGAACTCAGTAAGCGGTCTTCCGAAAAGTCCTGATTGCTTTCCAAAAAATCCGCGAGCGGGGTGCGAGAGATCAGCAATCTATTTTTCCGGTGCCCGCCTGCCCCCGGCGATTGTCTGAGTTGGCGAAGCTCTAGCCGGAGTGGTCCGGGTTCGTGATGCTGTAAAGTAATGTTACGGTAGGTATACTGTAGATAGAGGTAAGGCACAGATTTTAACTCAGATTTCTCGCAGAGTGGTGCTGTTTTTGACAATTCAAGTTTACATGCACAATAAATACAGGGAGAGCACGAGACTGATGCCAGCCCATCAAAAATAATCGATTGTAATTGATTTTATTGATTTTTCGCATTGTTCATCCCAGGAAGCTCAAATCTTGCATATATAGGTTTTTTAGCATGCTGATTACGAAAATGATAGTCTCAATTCCTAACACCACCTCCTTACATCAGTTTCTCGATTGATTCGAAAATTCTACCGTACTGCTACCGTAGTCCCACTGTCGGAAAGTAGTGAACAAAGTGGACACTATAATCGTGATCAGCATGTGAAATAACCCCAAAACACAATTTTTCACGAGAATTCGTGATTTTGGGTTCGTACAGAATGACTACCATAATCTTACCGTCTACTGCCAAAAACTGAAACAAATCATATTTTAATGATCAGCGCCCTAGATAACCCTGTGGGGATTTTCTCGGAGACATGTTTTGAATTTCTTACAAAAAACTACCATTTCGGACAATACGACCCACGGGTGGGTCGTAAGTTTGGCAGAGCAAAAAAGGCTCCTGTCCGAAATAGCAGTAATCGAAAAATCGGCCTTGTCGTCAATGTGTTAATGCTTGCGACTGCATCAAACCATATAAGATCCCCAAAAAATGTGCACATTGTTTGATCATTAATAACGCTTCTGCGTCAATGTCTTTCGCCAATGTTTAGGTGACATTCTGTAGAATTGGCTTCAATATAGATTTAGAGTATGGAGCGATTTTTTGATCTTGCCTAGTTACTGTGGGATTATCAGTAGGAACTTTTGCATACAGCGCCATCTCAATAAAATTTGGAAAATTGGCTCGTAGTAAACCCCCTTTTATCCCAGGTGACCTGAGATGAGATTTAAAAGAACTTTTAGGGTAAACCTAAGTAACCGCCCATTTCCCCGTGATTTAAGACAATCAGTTGAACAGTTAGCAGACCGCCCGGTCAAGTGACACGGTCAGTTGAACTATTGGCACTTAGTCGATGTTTTTACGAACAAAAAACCTTTTTTCTATCTCACCATAATCAGCTGTTACCATTCCTCTCCCATTTAGGCCCTCGAAATTGTGCAATTTTGTGAGTTTTGCATCGCAGCAATGCGTCAACTAAATTACCTTGTGAGTTACCCACGAGCAGTTT